AGTGCTTCTCTCATTTGGCTATTTAGCCATATTCCTAGTGATCTTACAATTTTGTTTTTGGGTTCTTCTATTATTTTACTATGACCGAATGTAATTTCTCTTTCTCTCTCTCTTGCTCTTGTGTTTATTACTATGAGCTTTGATTTGGATCCATTTATTTCAATATCATTTGTTTTAAAGAACTCTTCTGCAATGCTTAAAATTCTTAACATCTGTTCTTTACTGTTTGCAATCCATGTTGTATTATCAGCATATGCAATTGCTGCTTGCCTGTAACTTGTAATATTATTACTACATGCTCTTTCTGCAATTCTTTGTTCTATTTTGTAGTCTAATGTTTTATTTTCTTGTATTCTTTCCAATAATGAATCATAAAAAAGATGCCAAATTAATGGTGAGATTACCTCTTCTTGGTCCATTTTATCTCCTGCTATTATTTCTTCTGTTAGACCATAGGCTGTAATGATTTTGAGTTGCCAATTACAAAACAGATTGCTTATATATTTTTTTGTTTTTTGTGAAATTTTGACTCTTTTTAATGCTCAATCTAGGCTTTCTAATAAAACTAAATCAAATGCTTTTTTTATATCTTGTAACAGAATTCAAACTTCTTTATTCTTTTCTTGTACCTCCTTTATTCTTATGTTTAGTATATGTATTGGTTGCTCTGTTGAATTACCTGCAGGCCTATGAAATTTGGTCCTTTGAGTATATTTCTTTCTGTAAACACTCTGACTAATTTTTTTGTCACTACTTTTGTAATAACTTTCCTAAATGTTTCTATTAATACTATTGGCCTAATGTTATTTAGACAGTAACCCCAGTCTATATTTTTTGGAATTGGATATATTTGTGCAATTTTCCACTTCTTTGGTATGCCTTCTTTTTCTAAAATCAGATTTGTGAAGGCTCTAAAAATCTTTTGTAATCTCTTCTCTGCATGTTTTATTAATATGTAGCTTATGTCTGATATTCCTAGTGCTATATTCATTTTAAGCTCTCTAAGTATTTTTTTCTATTCATTTTATTCTATTCTTTCTTCTAATTCTTTATACCAGGTCTTCTTGATTTATTCTTTTGGGTTATATACTCTTTTTCATTCTTCTGCTATTTCTTCAAGCTTAGTTTTATATTTTCTAAATTGATTTTTAAAATAAGCTGCCAAACCATTTAGGCATGTGTTTGGTTCTGATATTAGGTTGACTTCTTTATTGCCTTGTATTATAAATCAGTTTAGAACAATTTTTTTGTATGGTTTGTTTAGTAAAATAGAAATCATTTGACCTTGATTTGTTTTAATCATTTTACATCTTTTGTTTATGTTTTTTTTTATCTGTTTTTTTTGTGCTCGTTCCTATTTCTCTTTTCTTTTCTCCTTAATTATTCTTTACCAACCTTTCATATTATCTATCTAGGCTTTTGACCACTGTTTGTATAATTTTGGCAATATTGCTCCTAGCTTTTTTCATATAATTTGGAGTTTGTTATTTATTTTAACTTCTTTATTCTTTTCTATTTTTTGGTTTTTTTTACTTCTTGCTTTCTTGATTATTTGCTAAAGTTTAATGGTGTGTTTGTGTTTCATTGTTTTTTTTTCAGTTTTGTCTTCTACTTAATTTAGTGTTGAATATTTTCTTTTTTGAAATTTGCTTGTTTGCCATTTCAATTATAGCTTCTTCTATTGCATTTCACATTTGATCTAGTACTTCTGTACTATATTCTGTTGTTATATTATTATTCTCTAGTTGTTTCAATACTCTTTTTTATTCTAGTTGATTTTGTAACTCTCTTGTATAATTTTCTCAGTCTTCTTGTTTTGCTTCTTCATATAGGTATATTGTTTTTGTTCAGTCTTTCTGTTTGATTTTTGCTCTACTGCAATTTGCAATTATATGTTCTACCCATATTTCTGTTGTTATTATCTTATAGTTACTGTTTGTTAAACCTTCTGCTTCTTTGATATTAGCTTTCTGTAAACCTAATGCAAGTGTTTCTAACAGCTAGATATAATCTATTCTTGTTGCAGTTTTCTGATTTGACCATGTGTATACTTCTTTTGTCAAGTACAGATTTTTGTATAAATCTATAAAGTTCTGTTTTCTGAGTTAGCTAAATATTAGCAGTTTCTTGTAGTTTGATGCTTGCGAGTGTTGCCTATCTAATATATTATCTACTGTATGATTGAAATCTTCCAGTATAATTACTTCTGTATAGCTTTTCCTGTTTGTTACTACCTCTATGATTCTTTGCTAAATTTTCTTATTAATTGACTTGTTATTTGGTAGAATATATACTCCTAGTACTACTAATTCTAATTGTTTAAAGTATAATCTTATCTTCAGCATGTATTTACTAACTTTTTTAATTGCTCTTACATGCTTTTTTCACTTTTCATCTATTAGAATTTCTATGCCTAAGCCTTTTTTCTTATCTATTACTGCACTAGTCTGTATCCCTTATACTGTATATTATAACTATGTAGTAAAAATTTTCACTCTTTTTCTATAATGTTCATTTCCATTATTTCTATTATTGTAAGCTCTTCTTTTTCTGCTCATTCTAGAAGGTTTTCTATTTTCTATCCTCTTGTTTTTAGTTTGTTGATGTTGTGGCATGCAATTTTTATTTTTTTTTTCCTTGTTTCTATTTTTTTTTGAAGCATTTATGCTTTGTTTCCATGTTTTCCATCTTTTCTTTTTCTTTTTTCCTTGTTTTTTCATTATAGCCAAAAGATACATTTGTATTTCTTTCTTCAAAGATTTTTCTTTTACTATATAGAAACTCTCCAATCTCCTGGTCTATGCTCATTAATTCAACTGTGGCACCATTAGAAGCAGTTAGGAAGGTCTTCTTCTATCTTCCCTCTTATCTTGTTTTGTTGTGCTTCAAGTCTCTCTAGTCTTTCAAGAATTTTTTCCAAAAGGTCTTGGTTTCATGTTTGAGAATCTTCTCTTTTTGTTGAATATAAGTAATGCTTCTTTTTATTTTTATTAAACTCTTTAGTGTTTTCTTCTTTCCTGTTACTCTTGTTTTTATACACTTCTGCATCTAAGTCTATGTTTATATTATGTGTAATTGTGTGCTTCTCATAAAATTCTTCTTCTTCTTTATTCTGCTTCCTCTTCTTTGTTTCACCTTGCCAAAATAACAAGTGATTGTTAAACCTTATTGGCTTAGTTTGTGCTGTTTTCATCTATTTCTCTGATGCAAAAGTAATTATTGCAGACAGAGATGTTATTTTATAATATTAGACATTTGGACAATTTGGATATTTGGACATTTGGACAATGTCCAATTTGTCCAAATAATTTGATTGAACATTATAAATTTTTTTATTGGACATAAAGAAAAAATTAGTTTAATTATGGCCTAAATTAAACTCAATTCAGGCCAAATTTTATACTAATACACAAATATGTAGTTTTATTAATTTATAATCTATTAAGAAGTACAATAATATAAATGCTATTAAGAAAAAATTTGCATTGGGCTTTCAATTATATTTTGTACCAGATTCGATCTATATGATTTATTAGTGATTATATTCAGTACATAATATAATTGAAAGCCTGATGACAGGTTTTTTATAAAACACTTCAGCTTTTTAAATCTAATCAGTGATATATAAAATACACATATACTTTGGAGCAATATTTAAGCAGATTACAATTAAATAATTTAGATAATTTAGGTAAAATAATAGCTATATTTTATTTTATTACACTAACACCTGATAGCCAACTTAATTTCTAGCTAATACAAATTAACATTTATCTTACTTTAATAAATTTATAAATGCTAGTTGTCCTAAACAGTTTTCATCAAAAAGAGTTTCCAATTTCTATTTAGCATTGGACACAATAGCAGGATGTTTATTTTCAAAACTAAATTCTGTCAACTCTTCATTTTTTTTATCTGGATTATCTGAATGATTTGATTCTAGTATCATTTCTTCCTTTTCTTCTACAAGAGAATTCCAATCATTTACAGCTTCTTGTCATTCATTAACTGAACTAATTTCATTATTTTTTTCTGATTGCTGAGTCTCTTCTAATTCTGTATCCTCATTTTCTGATTCTTGAATCATCCCATCTAGGATAGTAAAAAAAAAAAAAGGGGTTTAAATTATATAAAAGCATGTTTTATAACATTAGTTATTATGATAGCCCATGGTAATTTTACATATTATTTTGGATAATTCTCATTCTTATAAAATGCACAACTATTTTGTAATTATTGTAACATATGATCAAGTTATATGATATCCGTTTTACAACAAAAAAAAAAAAACTTTTGAAGATATTTTAAAATATCAACTTGGTATTTTTAGAATGCTTACCATTTCTATTCGAATTTTTATTAGAAAGCATTGCAGAAGTTGCAATTTGTATTTGAGTAAACTTTTTTTTAGATTCATGAATTCCTTTCATTCAGCATGAATATATTAGATCACTATATATTTGACACATCGCTATTACATTTTCAGGCTAAAAATTTAATTAATGCTAGCATTTACATAATAAATAGCAAACATCTTACTGGTAAAATTGAAAAAATTTGCTATATTAAATGGCACAATTTGAATACTACCCAAACTGCTATTCAAACTGCCATTCAATGTTATCATATTATTTCACAGATGTGCATGTCTGCGAAATCATGTAATAGTATTGAATAGCAGTTTGGGTAGCATTCGAATCATGCTATTCAGCATGATGAATTTTTTTAATTTTACTAGTACTTACATATATAAGGTAAGGTATACCTTTAATTTATTTCTCCGAAAATTATGTAACCAACCCATAGTAGAAAATAACCATTCAATAGATGCTGAGCTAATATAAATTGAAAAAATATGTTGTGCAACAAGATGTAATTCCTCAGTAAACCTGCCAACAAAATTTCAAAAAGAAAGAATATCATCTTTTTTTCCAAATTATTGATAATCTTCATCCTGAAATGGATATTGTTTCTCTTGATATTGCTGTAATTTATTCAAAATCCCTTTAGACTCATGTCCAAACCAAGCTTTGTAATAGTATAATAATCATTGACCAAGATGAAGAAAAGTTAAATTAGGTATTTGCTTATTAAATATATTATCATGATATTCAGAATGAAGTAAAAAGCTTAAGAGCAATAGTAGTTGTTCCTATATATTTTATCAACATTTTAAATGTGATAAAAGATTAGCTTGAAGGTTGTAATCAGAAAGGCCTTTAATTACTTGAACAATCCATCTGAAGCTATGTAAAACTTCATGAAGCCTAGAATGATCACATTGCAATTTGTTTAATACTAAACAGTAGGAAAGAAGAAGTGCCTCAAGCTCTTGTAAATCAAACCACCAAGAATTATCAAGAATATTCACAAGAATATCTTCAAGAAAGCCAACTAAGCTAGTATCTAAACCTTCATCAATTTTGTTTGTGAGATTCTAATTTAAAGCAAATTTTAATATTTAATATAATTAAAATTACAAATAACTTTTAAAATAAAAAATGTTCGATATAAGTAAGAATTAAAAATAGATAAATGTGAACTTTACATATATTCAAATCATGCACATTTAATGCATACCAAACTTCAATGAGATAAATGCATATAATTTGGAATATATGTATTAATATATATAATTTTAATTTACGCTATCATAGCAATATACAGTATTAGAGATATTAAGTAGTTTAACTACCTGTTAAAAACATGATCTATTTAATTGAATTAGTATATTAAAAATTCTGTATAATATAAATTTTAATGCTCTAGTTAGACTACTTAATATCTCTAGATAGTATGTAGCATATTATATGAAAAGAATAGAATTAGAACTCTAGAATGTTAAATAGTTAATTGCATTAAAAAATTTTTTTAAAAAAATAAACAAAATGCAGAATAATACTTATCTTTTCATTTTTCTTAAAGAGTTCAAAGCTATCGATTATCACATGTCCATGTAATAATTGATTAGAGTCTGAAATTTAATTATGCAATTATATAAGTATTAGTAATACAAGATAGTTTACTGAAATAAGTATGATAATTTGAGTCAAATATATAGCATGATAATTTTGATATAATACATGACAAAGTATATATAAGTAAGCACAAATAATAAAATTTTGTTAGTGCTTTTTCTTAAATATATTCAATTAAATAAATAAGAAATTATTTATGTTTTTTATAAAACTTGACATAATCTTTAGTAAAAATCATACACTTATTAACCTATGACAGTGCATATGATTTAGAATAATATATATTAATGTGCATAATCCTTCATTATATCAAGTTTTAACTATATATTTAATTAAATTATATCATCAATAGAAAACATACTTTAAGGGCTGTATGAGTCTTGATAATGCTTAAAAAGCAATAATAATGACTATTCTATTAGGTTATATTTGGTAGCATAAGAGATATATACTTATTATCATATATTAAAATTTGTTTATCTTGAAGTCATCCCAAAAAAATGCAGACCGATTCAAAAATGATACAAGACTAATTGCTTTCTTTGCAATAGTCTTGAAAGTTGATGAATATCGAAATATATCACCAATAGCCAAATTCATCTGATGTGCAAAGCAAGATATAAAAACCTTATCAGAATAAGAAGTTCGAAGACGTAATTGAGCTGCCATAAATTCAGAAGCTGAATCTGTTATGAGACAATTAACTCTAATCTTATTTTCTTCAAATTTGGTAAAAAGATCATTAGTAATTTGTACAATATCAGGCCATCAAATTCATCTTTCTGAAAGATTTTCTGCACTCCAAATTAATATTTTGCCTTTTGAATTAATTAATGCTATTCCTAATAAACTTTTCTTTTTAATATTCTTCCAACTATCATAAGTTAAAGTAACACCAAGCTGATCTGTTTGCATATCTTTTTTTTGTAACTCCTTATTGTTTTTAGCAGCATTAGTTAAAATTCAACCTAAAAGCACATAACGTTTTAGTAATTTGATGATAGGATTTACATAATAAAAAAGTTTTCTAATTTCAGGATCATTAATCTAAGAAAAAGCTAAACTACATGAAACAGTTGTTTTTAAAAATAGCTGTTCTAATTTTTTATTTTGCTTATCTGAAAGAGGTTTTGCAAAATAATTATCTAATAATAATTCTTTATCTAGGCCTAGTCGAGCTTGTTTACTTAAACTACTTTCATTAGAAATAGTTGAAGAAATTTCTGAAGTAGTTTCATCAGCTAAAATTTGATTTAAGTAAATACATACTGTACATTATTTATAAACTATAATACAAGTAAATCTAAATTATACTTTCCAATACTTAATTCATTTTCTTGTGAATTATTTTCTAAGATCAGGTTTAAAATATTATTATGCTTTGTTTCATTAAGATATTTTGTTATAAAAAATTGACAGAAATTAAGATGACGTCTGCATTCTCATTGAGTATTAGTTATTCTATTCTTATAAGCTTTTTCATATGTAGAGCCTTTGATACAATATTTACAAACACAAACTTATTACTCTTATTTGCTTTTTCATCCATAATAATAAAGAAATCTATTAGCATATGTCATTTTCTACCCATTGTGAAGCAAAAAATTAAAGTTAAAAAAAAGCTACACAATCTTATATAAAATAATGAAATTAATATTTTAATGATTTTGAAATTCAAAAAAAGTAATTCTCAACAATATAATCATTGGTATTATTGTAATTTTTGCATATAAGTTGTGTTGCTATTTAAAGAAAGAATCATGCTTCGATACATTAATGTTAGTAATAAAAATAGTCAAAAAAAAATTTAACGCAATAGACTATATTCATCAAAAATCTATTATTCTGCTCTTAAAAGTTTGTGTGAATTCTAATCTTCAAAGATTTTGAATGTTTTATGTAATAAATATTTATTCAGTAAGCATATAAAAATATGAATTAAATACTTGTTACTTTTTCATAATTAGGCCAATTACTTTAAGTTACAAATTATAATTCGAGTCTTGTTAGAATTAAGGTATATTGAGTTCTATATCAATTTTGATTCGCATTATGTTAAAAAATAGCCATTATTCACTATATATCATTCTAGTTTTGGTCTAGTTTACAACAAGACAATTGTTAAAGATGTGTTTTTATTAAGAAAACTTTTAGTATTGTTTGTTCAAAAGAAGCATCTACAAACTAACAAAGACTTACTTATACAATTTACATTTATATCTTTTTTCACTATTACACAATAGTATTCAGGCTTATGTGTTCTTGAGGTTTGTTATTGTTTAAACAATAAAACCTTAAAATCATATAAGTTTAGATATTCTATACACAATAGTGTTAAAAATTCGAAAGCATTTATAAATTAGAAAATATCTAAATTAAACCAATTACACTATCCAGACCCTGCATAAACTATTGTTCTATTGTATACCTTAACTATTAATTTTTCACATTCTATATGCATGAATGTTGAAAGTGAGAAAGTGGATTTTAAACTTATTTAGATTAGAACATATCGATACTTCTCATCCTAACCTTAAAAGATAATTTTAAGCAACTTAAATTCTAGTTTTGTACATACCAAATTAGCTTGAATTCTATTTTTACTTATGATATGCATATATGTGAATGTATATATGTACATATATATTTATTTTTAGGAATGTTAAAAGTCCAATTCGACTTCATGAAGTTGAGTTTTAATTTAGACTCAGTTCCAAGTCAGACTTGGAACCAAGTCCTAATAGTCATATGCAATATTATATGTTATATGCATATAATGTAAAAAAATATGCACTTTAACTTTTCTTGCATACATAGTTATTATTTCATTGTATATAGCATAATATTACAGTATTAAAATTAGAATATGCATGTGACTATTAGAACTCAGTCCCAAATCTGACTTGGGACCAAGTCTAAGCTTCATAAACCGGACCAGACTTTTAACATCTCTACTTATATTAGATAGTTTTAGAAATTCATATTTGGTAATACTCTAAAGAAATATAATTAAAGTATGTTTGAAAATAATAATAGATTGATTTTATTTTAACTACATGTCCAAATAAATAAATTAGTCAATGTTAAAATTTTGAAAAGATAAACATTATTTATTAGAATTAAAAGTATTATAAAGCAATAAAGCTATAATATGAATTCTTGTTGCCATATATTCTATATATATTATCAATTTTGTTTAATAAAATTATTAGACAATTGGACATATGTTCAATTGTTTAATTGGACATATGTTCAATTGATCTTGTAATTTTTTTGGATATTGTCTACTTCCTAAAGGTCCAAAAAATTATTGGGATATACTGGACAAATTGGACATAGTCCAAATATCTAAATGTCCAAAAATCCAATTAAATTTATTTAGACATTGTCCAATTCCAACCCTGGTTTGCAAAGACAGTTATTAGATTCTGCATTATAGAGAACCAATAAGGACATTGTCTTTTGGGTATCTTTCTAATATTATGATAAAAGTTATTTTATGTTATCAGTTCTGTGTTAGTTGAATTTAGAAATTGTTCAATATTTGTAATGTTGTGATTGTTTAATTTTTTCTTAAGGTAAGAGGCTCTAGGATGGTTTTAAGAAGTTGATTTATAGACGTTCAAATAAATCTTTTTGGATATAGCCAGTTATTACTATCCCATATAATTTGCAGTCCTAATGTGTGCAATGCTATTATCATCTAGCAGGTTTGTGTATTTTTTGCGATAATTAGAATACTGAAAGTTGTTCTAAAATTGACATATTTGTTAGTGCTGCATCTTGCAGTTGTTGTAATTGTATTTTTAGAAAAAAGTGTCAAAGTTGGGATAGTTTAGGTTTTTTTGAAACATTGTAACAAGTGCTGATGTTTAGGCTTGTTTTAGATCTACTAGTGCATAAATGTCTGGATTAAATAAGAAGGAATTTGGAACACCTCATGCTAGTCTTGCTTTGTGTTTAATTAGTTGAATTCAAGCTCTGTTAAGTAAGCCTAGTTGTGAGAAAGAAAAAACTAAGAAATATAGACAATAGAGAAGGTGTGGAGTAATAACACTATTTATAATATAAATTGCTTGTTTTTCTGTTATGTTAACAAATTGTAGTTTTTTTAAGTTAATTTTAGCTTCAGCTATTATTTCTTTTTGTATTAGTATTGGTTTTTTGCTGATCAAGAACCATGCTTCTAGATATTTAAATAGTGCACTATTGTTAATTGCTATTAATTTTTCTTTATTAAAAAGTATAGTATTATTTGTATCTAATGAGTTTGTAACTAAAGTGAACTTTAATAGGTTGACTTTTATATTAGCAAATTTGTAAAATGAGGAGGTAGTATGTAAAATATTGGTAAGTAAGGTTTTGTTTAGTGTAATTCATAAGAAGGTATCCATATAGGCCATTACTGAAGTGTGTATCTTTTTTGCACTTAAAGAAGGAATTTTACTAAAATACTCTTGCTGTTCTTTATGTATTTATGATATTAATAGGTTATAGTATATTTTTCAAAGAAAAAGAGAGATTGTCTCTCCTTGGTCAATACCATCTTCTACTAGGTATGGTGCAGTTAGGCCTAGAGTTGTAATTACTCTGTTGGTTCAATGTAAGAGCAGGTATATTAATAGATTTATTGTTTTGTCTAGGATATGTATTATTTTAAGTGCCTTGTATAAAGTAAATATATGAATTGAGTCAAAGGCTTTTGACATATCTTAAGAAAAAATTCATATTTCTTTTTTGTTTGTGACTGCATCTTCTAGGATTTGCATAAGTTGTGAAATTGGCTGTAGTGTAGATTGATGAAAAAAAGCTGCAAAGTTATAAAAGAACAGCACTTGATTATACATTAAGATATTTGTTAGTCAGGTTGTTAGAATTTTTGTAAAAATTTTTCTTATGTGATCGATTAATGTGATATGGCAAGTAGAGTTAAGTTCATAGTTGTAAGTTTATTTTTTTGAAATTGGCCAGATATTAGCTTTTAGCTACTAATCAGAAATGATTTCTTATATTAAGCAGTTGTTAAGTATAGTTAAAAGATAGAAAAAGGCAGATGAAAATAAATGTTGAAGAACTTCATTTAAAATTTCTAGTGGTCTAGTTAATTTCTCTTTAGGCACTACTTTTATTGTTTGTTCAAGTTCCATTATTGTGATGGAATTAAAAAGGTTGTCATAGGGGTGTGGCGACTTAGTGAAGTGGATAAGTTGTCATACCCCCAAGTGGTAGGTTGTGAGTTCAAAACCCACCAACGGTGAAATTTGGATAATCACCTATGTAATATATAAACGGTATTACGGCGACGGCATTCTGACGATCAGTTGGGATAGGATACCTGTAACTATGGTCGCACCAGCATGACTGGCAGGTCTGAGGCATCTGTGTAACCTGTTACACAGAGGAATGCAAACCGGTACCGGACAGTGCAAACCTAAAATAAGTCCTCGGGCTGTGTAAATCTGTAGAACTGGGAAGCCGGAGCCTACTTGGAAATTCTGAGTAGAGAGGTAACACGGATCTTTGACAGTACTACTGTAAAGGCTAGACCTAGGAAATGGATACCAATGTGAAGGATTCAGGTAGGCAAGAACCTCAGGTGAGGAGTACCACCAACCAGGCCGCCGGATTTCGGACCAGAAGAAAAGGATATTGGGCCAGTCTCAATATACCAAGGACAGGTCACAGTCCTTCTGGGCTATCTGGATTGGAAGTCTTGGTTCAAAGCAGGGATATACTAAAAGTACTAGAGATATGCTGTGAATTCAGTACTGAGGTTTGGGTGAACTCTGCAAGGGTAGCCTGTGTTAGTGTTCTAAAGTAGGTAGATAGTTAACAACAGGGGGCTCCCTGCGCCTTACTGGCAGGTGACGTACTCTGAAATGTGTAACGGCCTGAGAACTAGTACAAAAAGGGTAGGTACCATACTGCTCAGACGATATACCAGATAGGTATATATAGGAGGTTAGTTGGTGATTCCAATATGACAGGGTGGATGATCAGAGGGTTTAAATGGATAATCTCCTAGTAGGTTATAGGT